AGTGACCCTGGGTGGAGCAGAGATAACTGAGTACATAAAGGCATTAACAAAAGATTGTTGAGTTGGACAAGTGATTTTGGCCATCCTTTTTGAATTTTTTAGCCAATAGCCGACTCTATTGTCTCAGTTAAGTTTCCTTTAGCCCTGCTGGCTAAACGACAATAAAAGGAAGCTGAATTCAAATTATGTTTTTATTAAAGGAAACATATTTATACATAGATAGGTTGCAATGTTGACTTCTTTTTTAAAATGTTAGTTGCAGTTTCTCTTTTCAATACCTCCTCACTGACCCAGACCAAAAAGACATAAAAGTTAAACCAGCGCTCCTAATCTACGTATTTGATGCAGTCAGTGACTTAGTCATGGGATCATCTCTACAGCTAGGGAACTTGTAGGGGGGAAAACCAGCTCCTTCTGACACGTGCAGCTGGATCCCACCTGCATACACCCTGTCCTTCAAGACATCACCCTTGTGTTCTGTTTAAACCCACATACAGTATTGTTAATGTGCATGGATGCTGGTCCTCCCGGTCACTGCACACCTAACCCCATACATCAGCCTATGTTTTCCATGGTCCAGATAGAAGCTCCAGAAGTCCAACTGACCACCCAGAGTCCATGAGACACGGGGGCCTAGGCCATCATCTAATGCATGATAAGGTTTACTTTCACCACCAGACGAGGGCTCCTTTTCTTCTATCACCACCAACTCCAGAGTCAACAAAATTTACACCAGTAAAATCTCATCTTTTTATCCCCTAGGCATTGGTTGTACACTGTATACTGTCCCATATTACTCTAAGTGGAGCATCACATAGAGCCTTCTGGTTGTAAATTTAACTCTTTTACTTGTCATAATGTAAACAGAACAGTCCAAATCAATGGCAGCACAATCTTTGATATACTGGCAATAATGCTAGGTATGAGCAGACAAAACATTGTTCGTTAATAGCCAGGAACGAGCATGGCAGTACTCACACACTAAATCTCACTCCTTATCTCAATTCCCAGTCTCAGGCCTTGCACTGAAGCTTCTCTTTGCCCCTCCCCATCCCCCCTTCCCCCAGAAGGGGACATCACACCAAACCCCCTCCGATGTCCTCTCCTTGGTGGTTCCAAACTCTGTTCAACACCCAGCCCCTCCCACCTATATTTAGGGTCACCCCAACTTCACCACTCCACCTCTATGGAGCACCTAAAACTAAAGGGAACCTAACCTCTGCCTACAAGCCAGCATTTTCAGAAAGTATGACTAGCAATGATAGCTCTTCATGAGCACAGAGACCATGATGGGTCACGGTTAGCAGGCGAATAGGAGGGGGTATGTCACTTCCCACACACCTGTTTGAAGAAAGATTTTGCACTCAAATTCCTCTCTATCATGCCACATCCGTGTCCATTCACCTCTATGGGGTGTAGTGGCAGGCAGTAAACCGACCTACCATGACATACCCTATTTTTATGCTGTGCTGCAAAGTCCTTCCAAACCACCTCATTGGGTTCCTTGGAACCCCCAGGAGGGAACGCTGGACAGGGGGTGGGCTTTGGTGTACCATAGGTCTATATTTGGTATTTTTTTATTAGTCCAGGGTAGGGGAACTCCTTACCCAAAGTGTACTATATACATTATGTATTTGAAAAGCACCCTGCATAAAAAAAAAATCCACTATCAGTTTGTATCTCTCTTTTGTTTGGGGCGTCAAATTGGACCCCTGTAACTCACAGAGGAAAGGTTTCAGACTAACCAAGGATACCCATTTAGTGTTTTCAAAATAAAACTGTCATTGTAAGAGGGAGATAATGTTTAACATACTGTACAACTGGTTTAGACCCAATTCACATATATGTGGTGCGGAAAATTGCAGCGAATCCTGCGTGTTTCCCACACTGCATTGAAATAGCACTCCATTCATGCAATCTGCTACTGGTGTCCATGTTAAATTAATGACACTCACACTAAACATATTGGAAAATGCAGTGTGATTTCAAGAATCAGATCACATGGGTGTAAACACCCATGCAATCAGACTGGTGAAGCAAAAAAAAGAAAAAAAAAGGGTTCCTGAACCTTTTTTTTAGTGTGGGTGAGGTATGAATCTAGCCCCAAAAAAATTAATGGGCTCCAGTCCAAATCACATGCGATTTCCCGCACTTCTATATGGTCGATCCACTCTTAAAGTGATTTTAAACCCTGAGTAAAAACTTAAAAACTGAGTAAAATGCTTAAAAAAAGCATTTTCAGCAACTGATTAATTAATCACTTACTGAGTATGCAGCTTCTTCATCTTTTAATTCTTGTTTATGTTCCAGTTTTAGCTGGTGCCCTGACTGCTGCCCCAGATTTCCTGTTGCAGGGTGGCTCCTTTGTCTTGCAGTAACCTATGGAGCCACCCTTGCCTGCAGGGATTAGAGTTGTGTCTGCTTACACTGTGTGCATCAATAGAAACACACAACCCTGTAGCATAGGATGGCAAGATACCCCATATGGAAGAAAAATATATTTGAAATATATATTCAAAATATTCTTCCCAAATATATTGACATATATTTGAAATACTACAATTATGACCATAATCAATATATTTCAAAATATATTTCAATAAATAAAAACGCATTTCAACATACAATATATATATATAGAGAATATGGCCAAAATTGTAGAATTTCAAATATATGTCAATATATTTGGGAAGAATATTTTTAAAATATATTTTTCTTCCATGTGGGTCTCCCTTACTACCCCTCCCATTTACAAGCTAACAACAAATTTTCTTGACTGTGATATCCACTGTTCATTTTTTCCTGTGAAGACCAGAAGTCCAGGGAAGCAGCACTGGGGAACAGGAGGGCAGGGGTAAAAAGTGTAACAAAATAGTTTACTGGTGAATGGTTATTTTCTTGTGCTCAATGTGTTAAACTAAAAAACACAGAGTTTATAATAAACTAAATATACACTATACAATTAAAGAATTGAAGGAGTGGGGCAGAAAAATGTCAGCTGAACAGTGTCTGCATCTAATCAGATGCAGTGGCTGTTGGGGTATTCTGACAGGCGCTGACTGCAGCTTCCAGAGCAAGAAATTCGCCCATCTGTGCGGTAGAGCATGAATAGAGTACACTGTTAGATTATTTACATTTAAATAATCTATGTGTATATATACCCAATTTTAATGCCCGGTAAACTGACACATTTCCAGCTACTGCATGCAAGCCTGGCTGATAACAGAGCAATTGGCTGCATAAAAAACATTTATAAAATAAAATCAATCTCAGTTCCTGTACAAAGGTAGGTTTATGGGCTCTTTAACAAGCAAACAGCGGTCATGTGGGCAAGCCATAGAATGTAGGGTAGGTGTGTATCAAATACAGGTTTACAGGTCCTATAAAAAATGATGTCACATGTTGCTGTAATGCTGTACACTTTTGTATGCTATCTACTTTATATTAAGTAATCAGCAGCTGATTTCATTACTTCCTGAGTATGCAGCTTCTTTATCTTTCAATCCTGGCCTATGTTCCAGTATAACTGGGTACTGACTTGGGCATTATGCCTGCTATGACTCCTGGGATATGCAAGTCATATATCTCAGGAGCCATAGTGCTTCATAGAGAAAGGTGGAGTGGTCCTCAGGATGACGTCATATAAAAAGACGGCGAGCAGGAGCAGAATTCAGACAGGATTCTGCAGGACATTGCTAGATCTCTGGGCAAGTGGGTATCTGAAATATTCAGGACTCATAACAAGGTATGGAGGGATTTTTTTTTTTTAAAAAAAGGGGAGGAGGACTGTAGAACCACTGTAAAGTGTATATAATACCTAACAGCAAACAGGCAGTGGTCTCTACAGCAGTCCAACATATTCCCTGCTTAGTCATGGAGCTCTGAAAGTCAGGAAAACTCATGCACCCTGCTCGAACACACAACAAGTGTGTTGGACCTCTGCAGACAGACCCCTGTTTCCACACAGAGAGCAAAGGGCCCGCACTACAGCATGCTGTCAAAGGGACAGGCTTTTTTTACTCAGGCTGTAGCTGCTGCATAAAGAAACAAACTGTAAAAATTCACCTCAGCCTCCTTCCAGGTGAGTTTCTTAGAGACGTAGATGTGACAGTATCCAAGGTAGGAAACCCATCCATCTTTACATGGGCCCTGGCAAAAATACTTTGGGTTCAATTCATCTGGGACCAACGGCATTTGTGGTTTTCCGTGCTTTTCTTCTGACGAAGAACTCTTCCCGAAGTGCAGAAAAGGCAGGTGAATTTCCTTAGACTTCGAACCTTTATGGCTCTCATGCTTTTCTTCTGACGAAGAACTCTTCCCCTTGTGGATCTCCTTAGAGTTAGAACCTTCATGGCTCCCGTGCTTCCCAAATATCCAACCTACAAAAAGGGTTCTTGGTTTATTGATCATAAACGGAACATACAATGTTTTTTAAATTAGTTTTTCTCTATAATGCCTAGAACTAAAATTTTAAATTTATTCAGAGTGGAACTAAAAAATAATGTTTCTCAATTGTGACAATAGTTGTCCATGTCTATGCAAGGTACATTGTACGGTCATCAGAAGACTATGTGACAGGGCGATAATGCAGGAGAACAGTTGGGAGACAGGATGGTCCTGAACAAAAACCTTCATGGCAGGAACACCAGTTATTACTTTAATGAAAGCTGTAGATTTAATTTTTTTTTGTTATTGGTATTTGTAAAAAATAACTAAAGTATATAAAAAACCTAGTCATTTACCTAAAATCTTAAATCTTTATTTAAATCTATGGCTTTCATTAAAGTAATCACATAGTTACATAGTAACTATGTCATTACTTTGAAAGCTGAAGATTTAAACATTTTTGAAAATAGCTTACAACAAAGATAATTTAGATGAGGGACTAGGTTTGCGTATACACTATATTGTCAAAAGTATTAGGACACCCCTGAAATTACTGGATTCAGGTGTTCCAATCACCTCCATGGCCACAGGTGTATAAAATCAAGCACCTAGGCATGCAGACTGCTTCTACAAACATTTGTGAAAGAATGGCTCTCAGGAGCTCAGTGACTCCAAGCGTGGTACCGTGATAGGTTGCCACCTGTGCAATAAGTCCATCTGTGAAATTTCCTTGCTACTAAATATTCCACAGTCAACTGTTAGTGGTATTATAACAAAGTGGAAGCAACTAGGAACAACAGCAACTCCACCATGAAGTGGTAGGCCACGTAAAATGACACAGCAGGGTCAGTGTATGCTGAAGAGCACAGTGCGCAGAAGTCGCCAACTGTCTGCAGAGTTATTAGCTAAAGATCTCCAAACTTCATGTGGCCTTCAGATTAGCACAACAACAGTGCGTAGAGAGCTTCATGGAATGGGTTTCCACGGCCAAGCAGCTGCATCTAAGACTTACATCACCAAGTGCAATGCAAAGCATCGGATGCCGTGGTGTAAAGCACGCTGCCACTGGACTCTAGAGCAGTGGAGATGTGTTCTCTGGAGTGGCAAATCACATGTCTCTGTCTGGCAATCCAATGGACATGTCTGGGTTTGGCAATCGCCAGGAGAACAGTGCTTGCCTGACTGCATTGTGCCAAGTGTAAAGTTTGGTGGAGGAGGGATAATGGTATGGGGTTGTTTTTCAGGGGTTGGGCTTGGTCCCTTAGTTCCAGTGAAGGGAACTCTTAAGGCATCAGCATACCAAAACATTTTGGACAATTTCATGCTCCCAACTTTGTGGGAACAGTTGGGGATGGCCCCTTCCTGTTCCAACATGACTGTGCACCAGTGCACAAAGCAAGGTCTATAAAAACACAAATTAGCATGGAAACTCGAGCAAGCCCTTCTTGTCTAACATCAGTGCCTGACCTCACAAATGCGCTTCTGGAAGAATGGTCAAACATTCCCATAGACACCCTCCTAAACCTTGTGGACAGCCTTCCCAGAAGAGTTGAAGCTGTTATAGCTGCAAAGGGCGGGCCAACTCAATACTGAAACCTACAGATTAAGACTGGGATGCCAATGAAGTTCGTATGTGTATAAAGGCAGGTGTCCTAGTACTTTTGGCAATATAGTGTACTTCAGTTATTTTCTACAAATGCCAATGACAAAAGAAATATATAAAACTTAAATAAATGGACTAGAGAAATTGTAGCTTCAATTTAAAGAAAAATGTCACAAAGTGATTATGTCCACAGTGCCTTGCTAACTGGAGGAAAGGAAAGAGCTAAAACAGGGCCTTGACAGTTATCTAAGCATGCAATGCCACCAGCCACTACTAGAGGGAGACTAGTCCAATCAATCTGGCTGGACAGACACAGGCAGATACAAACCTTGAATACAACCTGGTGCACTTGAAAAACTAACTTGCACATCACATCTACCACCATGGCAGAGGGACTGTAGTTGAGTTCTCAATGCAAAGTTTAGTTTTTAGGGCCCTTACTTCTTAATCCATTTATAAATGATATAGTGTTTTGGATTAAAAGTAAAATTTCAGTGTTTCCAGATGACATCAAGCTATGCAGTGGAATAACATCTTTACTCACTTCGGTTCACGCATCTGTTCACCCCCTATGGACTAGAGCAATTTTTACACTTCTGGGCCTGTTTACTCAATGCTAACTTTGTCATTACTTAAGAAATTAAAATATAATACATATATTATTGTTTATTTAGGACAAACAAGGATTTTTTTTGTGAATATTGTCTTGCAACAATTATTTTTTTTATCGCAATCCTTAAACAATTAAATATAACAAAACACAACAAAAAACACTTTTCCTTTTCTTGAGCAGTGTTAGTTTAAAAATAAATATAGTTACTGCAGATAAAAAGTGCACATTTTATTCTGTAATTTGTCCTATTTAAAATGGCACTAAAATTATGATTCTAGTAAAAAAGCATTGCAAAGTTGTCTACAAATGAAGTCAAATTGTTGTTTTTTTTTCTTTTTTCAATTTTGTGCTTTTTTTAAATGTGAAATGTGTAAATATGGTGAAGGTATAAGAATATTAAAGAACAAAAAAAAGGGTTATTAAGGGGTTAAACATAGGAACGTTTAACCAGTTCCCAACCGTGCTATAGCCAAAGGACGGCTACAGTGCGGTTGTCTAGTTCTGGGATGATGCCCATGGATGTCATTCCAGAACACGCCCCCCTGCACACCCCCAGCTGCACACACCAGTGCCACCTGTGATCGCTGTGTCCTACGGACACAGCTGATCACATGATATGGTAAACGGCCAATCACGGTGGCCTTTCAGCTCTGTCCAATGACACAGCAGTTCACCAGCTAAATACAGTTGCAGGTTATTGGCTGCACTTTTCTCACGCTGTCCACAGAGTGTGCCACCCACGTGTGCCCAGCAGTGACACCCACCAGTGCTGCCCATCAGGGCCCAGCAGTGCTGCCCATCAGTGCTGCCCATCTGCGCAGCAGCATCAGTGCCACCTATCAGTGCTTCCTATTAATGCCCATCAGTGATGCCTATCAGTGCAGCCTCATCAATGCATATCAGTCAAGGAGAAAAAATTTACCTGTTTGTAAACTTTTATAATAGAAACAAAGAAAAACTTTTTTTTTCAAATTTTTTGCTCTTTTTTTGTTTATAGCACAAAAATAAAACAGCCAATGGCAATTAAATACCACCAGAAGAAAGCTCTATTTGTGTAAAAAAATTATAAAAATATTATATGGGTAGAATGTGGCACGACCGCACAATTGTCATTCAAAGTGCGACAGTGCTGAAAGCTGAAAATTGGCCTGTGCAGGAAAGGGGTAGAAGTGTCCGGTAGGCAAGTGGTCGATTTTAAAAATATTTTTTTAACTTGTCAGGTTGCTTTAACTGACTTTATCTGTAGACTGAAGTTCTTCCCTTTGAGCTGTAGATGAATAAACAGAAAGATACAAATTGAAACAATGTTTCTGTGTATGTTTCCGTATTCTCAACTTAGCAATGTTGTTGATAAACATTGTCAGACAGCTTTTTTTTTACAGCTCTAACTGCCAGAACTTTCTCTGTGTATTCGGCAATGCTGCTTTGATTAATCAAAGCGGAATTGCTAAGTACTGGGCCAGAGGAGGTCCTGGCAACAGGGCAGAAGGACTGGACATGTTACACCCGCCCTGTGTACAATGATTACTTTTTTGGGCGTAACTAACACATCCAGTAACTGGTTACAGGATGTCTCCAACTTACAAGCCAAACTAAATGCATGTTGTTCTCTAAGGCCAAGACATACCATATTGCCTAGGCATGCAGTCCATAGCTCATACTTTCAGATGGAATCACTCTCATCTCCCCATGATTACCATTTTTGATTTTATGAGAGATGGAACATATGTGCTCTGATCTGAAAAAAATGCAGTTGTCAAGTATGAGGGATTTGTTGACACCTTGTAGACCTTTATCTGCACAGAAGCCTACAGGATCCTGTCAGAGATTCAAGAGCTGTGAGGTGTTAACTCAAATCTACAAGCCTATTTTTTTTTTTAAACTATGAGCATTTGCTAACTTCTATGAATTAGAAACATATTTTGCAGACGGAAATTTTCACGAGCATTGATGAGTGGCGTTATTTTCAGTTGAAACAGTTTATTGGGAAGCTTCCAATGCCATTGAGAACAAGAGAGGATTGGAACGCTTTTGAGCACTTATTACATACACGGAGTGATGGGAAACATGGGATTTCTAAAATATATAAGATTCTCACTGGAATAACCACGGATATAAGGCCATCATTTATAGAGAAATGGGAAAGGGATATAGGAGTAACAATGGATGTGGAAAAGCAAAAGAAAATATACAGTTTAATTCACACGAATGTAAATATGAAGGAGGTGGAGATGAATTATAATTGTTTTCAAGATGGTATATTACACTGAATGTAGCACATAGATTGAATGGAGACAATTCACCTTTATGTTGGCGTGGATGTGGGGGTAGAGGTACAATGTAACACATATGGTGGGAGTGTCCTAAAATTCAAACTACTGGGGGAAAATAGTATGCCTGATTCAGAAAATAACGGAGGTTGATATTCCAAAAGACCCAGAGATTTGCCTTTTTCATTGTACTATAGTTTCAGTTAAAAAATGTAAAAAAATCTGGTTTATTGTATTATCTGAATGCAGCGAAGGGATTGATACCCAAATTTTGGAAGGAACAGGAGGTGCCAAAAATAAAGGATTGGGTAGACAGGGTGGATCAGATATGTAGATTAGAGGAACTTTAACATTTAAGTGAAGATAAGAAGGAGAGTTTCCATATAAGTTGGAAAAAAATGGGAGGAATTTAAATTGGGGATTAATATAGAAATAATATGGATCTATTCTTGGATCAGGATCTCCAGAAGGAGTAGGAATAATGCAGAGCAGAGGTTTTGAGGGGATGGATGGGGGGGAGGTATGGGGTTTAGGGGAAGGGAGGGGGATGGGCGGGGGGAAAAATATTAAGATTAAGGTTAATATTTAGATATCATGACAAGCAAATTAAAGGTTGTTTTGTTCTGTTTATCTTTTTTAAATAGTCTGTTTATACTTGTAACTTGAAAATGTAATAATAAAATATTTAAATAATAAAGAAACATATTTTGTATTACTATCATCCTACCTTTATATACAGTGAAGGAAATACGTATTTGATCCCCTGCTGATTTTGAATGACAATTCAAAAGAAATGCATGTCTAACAAATTATGCACTGATTTGCATGTTCCTGAGGGAAAAAAGTATATTTGATCCCCTATCATTCAGCAGGATTTCTGGCTACCAGGTGTCTTTCATACAGGTATCAAACTGAGATGAGAAGCAGTCTCTTAAAGGGAGTGAGCCTACTCTAATTTTGTTACCTGTATTAAAGACACCTGTCCACAGGAGCAATCAAGCAATCATATTCCAAACTCTCCACCATGGCAAAGACCTATCCAAGGATGTCAGGGACAAGACTGTAGACCTACACAAGGCTGGACTGGGCTACCAAACTATCCCCAAGCAGCTTGGTCAGAAGGTGACAACAGTTGGTGCAATCATTCGCAAATGGAAGAAGCACAAAACAACTGTCAGTCTCCCTAGGTCTGGTGCACCATGCAAGATCTTACCTTGTGGAGTGTCAATGATCATGAGAACAGTGAGGAATCATCCCAGAACTACACGTGAGGATCTTGTCAATGATCTCCAGGCAGCTGGGACCACAGTCACCAAGAAAACAATTGGTAACACACTACGCCGAAAAGGATTTGTGTGAAAAAAATGATAAAAATGTTATATGGGTACAGTGTTGTATGACCGCACAATTGTCATACAAAGTGCAACAGCGCTGAAAGGTAAAAATTGGCCTGGGCACGAAAGGGGTAAAAGTGCCCGGTAGGCAAGTGCTTAATGTGGAATGTGTGTTCCTTGCTAAAGAACATTATATTTTATCAGTTATTATGAGTAAAGTTCCACTTTACCTCAGTACCTGCGTAAACCTATAAG